CTTTCTGCAGTCCCAGAGGGAAGGGGGGGCAGGAGCTGCCCGGGGGTCTGCGGCCGCCTCTGGCGCCTCCCTGCCAACGTGCAGGGGCGGCTCCCCCGGCCCCGAGACAGATGCCAGCCGCCCCTTATCTCTCCACAGGCCGCCGAGCGGGGGCAGGGGGACTGCGGGGCCCCGGACGCCAGCACGCGTCTGCATCATCAGAAGACAGGAGACGCTGGTTTTCTTCGCAAGGATCCATGTGCAGAAACGTCCCAGCTGCGGCCGCGGCGGCTCGGGAAATTCTTGGCGCGTGAGGAAAGGGCTGGCGAGCGCCGGGCGGTGCGGCGGAGGCAGGCGCGGCCTGGGACGGGGCGGATTCAGGGCCGGAGGGGGCGGCCGCCCTGGGGTCAGCCTGGAGGGGCGTCCACCACGCTGCTCACCTGCTCTCCCAACTGAGGGGTCGGCGGCCGAAGCCAGACAGCTGAACGAGCTGGGCGCCTCCCCGGCGAGCTCTGGGCAGCACTGGACCCGTGAACTGGGGGCGGGCGGGGAACCGCTGACCCGTGAGGCCTCCCTCTGGGCCTCGGAGGCCAGGACGGCAGAGAGCGGTCTTCCCGCCCTGCCACCCGGAGCCGGGACTTTGCAGACAGCGGTGCCGGGGCCCTGCTCCCTTCCCGACGACACCCCCACTGCGGATCCGGGCAGCGAGGCTCGGAAACCACACCACCTGCCAGGGACAGAGCAGCCCCATTCCTGGCTCCTGGGCACTGCGGGGCGGGGGGGGCGCAGAACGTGTACCTCCCAAGAAGGAGGCTTCTGCTAAAGCCACACCCGCAGTCAGTCCTTCTGTGGCCCAGGGGTCGCGCCGAGCGCCCCGTCAGGGAGCTGCAGGGCCCAGGTGGTCAACTTGGAGGTCAGCGTCCCCGCCAACTGCCCACCTAGGAGTGACCAGTTCGAGGGCTGCTCCGGACGCAGCCATCGCGGCCTGAGAAACGCCCGGCCAGACTGGAGCAGAGGACCAGGGACCGACCCAGGGAGGGGGGCCAACCGGAACGGAAGAAACTTCCTCACCGTCAAGCCACCCACGTGCACCACACACCTGGCGTACAGGCGGGTGTGCACGTTCGCTCGTGCGTGTGTGCGCACGTGTGCCTGAAGCGCGCGTGAGCTTGGCCCTCCGTGCCCTCGCTCCCGGAGCCCGGGGCCTGTGGAGAAAACCAGCGAGGTCCTCAGAAAGGCACCCCACACCCGGGTGCTCAGACAGCCCCCCAGGACACCTTGGCTCCCCTCCTCTCTCCGGGAAGAGGTTCCCTGTGAACCGAGAGGCTGGAGCCACGCCCGGGTCAAGGCCCCTTCCACTCACCCCCCACGCAAGGTTTCTGGAACCCCAGGAGCATCTTCGGCCAAACCAGACAACTGCTACCTGTCCCCAGTGCATTTGCATTTATAAAGCTTTTTTTTAACGTTTATTTTTGAGAGACAGAACGTGAGTGGGGGAGGAGCAGAGAGAGAGGGAGACACGGAATCCGAAACAGGCTCCAGGCTCCCAGCCGTCAGGGGAGTTCAGTTCGAGCCGGGCTCGAACTCACCTGAGCCAAGTCAGATGCTTAACCGACTGAGCCACGCTGGCGCTCCGCATTTGCATTTATTTACCTGCCTACTATTTGTTCATTGTGGGAAATATGGAAAGCGCAAAAACTTTAAAAGGTGGAAATAAAAGGGGTGCGTGGAACCCTTTTACCGCCTCTGGGTTCTCAGCGGGTCCTCTGCTCCCGGCTGCAGGGGGGCTGGTGGCGTCGGTCCGACACCCCCTGGAGCTGGAAGGTTGAGCACACGCAGATGGGATGCGATCGACTTCTGCTCTCGGCGGGGAAACCCAGCACACTGCTGCCACAGGCAGGGGGTGGGGGGGGCGCGGGAGGGGGGCTCCTGGGCTGTCCCCCCCCCCGCCCCCGCCCCACCACAGTCCAGAAGCGCCCAGGAGACCCCGGCCCAGGGTGACGCGGGACTAGGGAGCACCGTGCTGGGAATCCCCGCAGGGAGCCGGGCAGAAAAGAGAGTGCAAGCAGCCTACGGCCTGGCCTAGCGGAAGGGAGGAGGGCAGAGCAGACAGGGAAGAGGGGAAGAAAAGGAAGGAAATTCTTTGAAGATGAAAGCGAGAGAGCGTTAAAGAGGCCGCTCGGCTCGCCAGCCCCCCGGCTGCCTCCACACTGAAGCCGCCCAGGATCCTGAGGAGGTGGCCCCGGGGGCCTCCCTCTGGAGTGGCGGGCAGAGGTCATGCCAGGCCA